CATTTTTCACGAACATCGTAAAGTGGGATTGGCACATGCCTTTTCCCAATTGAGGATTGGGGCCTGTTAGATGCCCCCTAAGTTTGGGTAGTGGGGTTAGGCGCGTGGCATGCAGGTCAAACCCGGGTGAGAAAAGCCTTGGCCCCACCTTTGCTTAACCACCAGGGGGGCAATAGGCTGGGAATAGCCCACATTTTGCTTGCAAGAGGTATTGAATGTGAGATGATGGTAAGAGAGTAGACATGCTTCCAAAGCGAAAACCGCAGCTTTCCATGGGTGTTATAGACGTCCGTAGAGATGTCCTCAGTTCCACACCCGAGGAGTTTTTCAAAAGCAAAGAAGCAAAAAGATCTGAATTCAGAATTCGAAGGACCATCAAGCCAAACTTTGGGTTGGAGCCCTTTGCCCTCCCCCCCCCCCCCCCCCTTTCAGGGTCCTAAACCTCACCCTATCCGGTTAAAAGTAGTCCCAATCTGCTTTCTTATTCCTACGTCCAACTGCTTACCATATGCAATCATTACCTTGCTGAAGGGCTATTGGCCCAAAACTGAGATGTGCACGCCTTAGTGCACAACTGCTACGTCCAGTTCATATATGAGATGATTGGCATTTCCGCCATCGTTCGAAGTCCATTTTGGCACGTAACATTGGTCGCAAAGCTAGGTTGAGCCCCCGTGGTAGAGCAGCACGGAAGCCTCGTGTTTCACACATGAGGTCCAAAGTTCAAATCTTGGTCGTGTCAGAAGAGCAACCCTTGGACTTCAGTGATGTGCAAATCTCACTCAACGCAAGAAACGCGCTAGCCATGCTTTGATCCGCCCGCCTCACTGGCAATCAGAGGACGGATTCGACCAGGTGGGGGGGAGTGCTACGTTCCGTTTGTATATGAGATGATTGGCATTTCCGCCATCATTCGAAGTCCCTTTTGGCACGTAACAACAACACTGTGCGGTGCCTATAACTGACGTGTTTCAAAATGCTTCCCCCACTTCATACATCCATACCTATACCCTATTGGAGCCCCCCCCTCCGTACGGATGCCGCTGGACCCCCGCAGACCACCCGTGTAGTACCTTCCCTGGACCCTCCGTAAGGGTGCCTTACGGAATCCGCACGGGACCCGCAATTATGTAAGCCGTAACGTGTACGGAAACCTGGCACACCCTCTGTGCGGCACCCGTGCGGGACCCATAATTCCATGCACCTGCATGGCAATCTTGAATGAGTGATTTCTAGAATTTTGCTAAGAGTTGAGGCCGTAACTTCCCAGTGACTGGCTACCCATCTCGGACCGGAGTCCCTGCACCTACGCACACCTCCCACCTGCACATGCATGTCCGGCAGCACATCCATTAGTGTGTCATCAATGCGTGGGGCAAGTACAGGGAGCAGGGAGGGGCTGCAGTTGCTGGAAAGATGCACCACAATCACAGCAGCATGCAAGCCATTCAGCGTATGCAGGCAAGGGGTTCCTTTACTAGGCGCAATTTAGACAGAGGCCCGGCTCTCGGGGGGGCTGATAGGGCAGGGAAGGGCTGGGTGGGCAGGGAGAGGGGGCATGCGGTGGTCAAACACAAGCAAGCGCGCAAACCACTGTCAGCGGACTTTTGCAAGGAGGATAACCCTATTAACAAGCATTCAATTTTTTCTTGCCTTTTCATTACAATGCTTTGCCTTGCTGCATGAAGAATTCTGATGAGCCAACAATTTCGCGTAAGTGCCCATCCGTTGGACGGGGAGTAATTAAATTTCTTACATTTTATGATTTTTCTGAATGGGCAGACCAAGGAAAGTGGGCTCTTCAAAGAATTTGGGGAAGGAAGGTCTTCCGGGCGCACAGAACGTCCATCCAGCACGAATCTGGGCTTGTTTTGAGTCATCAAAAGATTTTAAAAGCATGCACGAGTGCCCTAGAGCTGAAGCAGCTCCATCCGGATCCTGAAGGTCTTCTTGCAATTCTCCCTTCACGGACCCCACCCCAAGTCCGTGCTTTCGCCTTTTCACCTCCGTTAGTGCTTACGGGTTCCGTACGGAGGGGGGGTCCTCCAGTAGGGATAGCAATGTTCGTAGTCCTAGAAGTTTTGTGTGAGATGGTGGCCATTTGGTTGGTGGTGTATTATAGCCTCAGCGTAAGCACCCGTGGCTTGCAACTCCGAAAGCGTACTCACACCCCCCCTTTCAAACCAATTTCGATGGAGGGTGCCAATCACAGATCTTGAGCTGGGAATTCCAAAGACATATCTAAAGTATCATAAAAGTGCCTCAAAAAAAGGGGGGGTCTCAAATATTTCAGACCCCCTTGACCCACCCCCACCCCCCCGTTCCCGATCGGACCCATACATATATACACACCGTTAGATAGCTATTTAATTTGATATCCAGCAGCTGCACCAGCCCTCGTGTGGAGGGGGGGGGGGGGGATCCCAAGTAGCGGCGTGCGCTTGCGCGTGTACATTTAAGATGGAGGGAAATAGCTCCGGCAGCCGTGTCAATGTCTCACTAGAGCACTTTTGGCTGCTTTGCAGACTCCAGTGGAGCGTCCAGATGCTGAGAAGCACTTGGGCTTGCTAGGTAAGTGGGCCTTGGGCTGCTATCATGCTCACAAATGATCCCTTTTGGAAACATAGAAGAGAAAGATGACGTTTTGTTTAGGTTTGCGTAGGGGAAGGGTCCTGCAATGGTGTTACAGCTGTTGGAGTAAGCCTGTGGATGTGTCATCTTTGCCTCATGTTCGTGATGCATGATGTGGCACTTGCAGCAAAACAAGGCTTTGCACTTCTCATGCATCATTTTGGCTCTCCACTATGTGACACGTGAGTGCAGGCCCTCTAATGCGAGTGGAGGCCGGAGACACGCTGCAAGTGACGCTACACAACAGCCTGGACTTCCCTGTCGGCCTCGAGCCCCTTGGGGGTGCTCATTGGGCCTTGAATGACATGGACGGCGAAGGTCCCTTGGAAGCTGGACACATGCCCGGCGTTGCCCCAGGCGAGGCGCGAACGCTTTCGTGGCAGGTGGGCAGACACACGGGCATAGGTTGTGGCAAGAGCCTCAGTTTGCCAAACCCACAAGCCTCCTAGGTGAGACCTTTCTTAGCAGGGCGAGGGGGGGGGGGTCCGGAGGAAATACCACTGAGGAATGGTCAGCAGCATTGGATGCTTCCCGCGCTAGGAGCATAAGCTGAAGTTTAGCTATGAATGGATGCTATGTGCAGGTTCCAGATGACGCTGCCCCTTCATTTGAGAGTGTCCAAGCTGCACGAGACGAGGGGCGCCAAACATCCCGGCTGTACCTTTATCGCTCTCCAGTTGATGTGGTGGCGCATAGTAACGCAGGTTTGTCTGGGGCGTCCTGACGTGAGCATTGGCACATGCTTGAATCCACTCCGGTTGTTTGCTTTGTGATGGTGCAATGTGTTTTTATCCATTTTTGCCACTGGACTAGGGTTTAGGAACAACACAATTATTGGATGATCCGAAAAAAAACTAGAAAGCAATTTCCGGATTGGCCCACTCAAAACATGGCCAGCATACTTGCCAAACCCTGCTGCATCATGCTTGAGCATGATGTGTTTCTCCTCCACTCTCATTCATTCTTTTTGTAGGATTGCTGGGCCCCATCATCGTAACTAGTAAGGGACTTGCAAACGAGGATGGAAGCACCCAAGGCGTGGATTATGATCATGTGGTGAGTTTTTGGGTCAAGCAAGCATTTCCTTGTGTGCATCAATCAAGCATGTGTGGTGGTAATGGTGCTGTTCAAGTGTCTCTATCCAAGAAAGTGCTACTCCTGTTGTTGGATCCAGCTCGGCAGCCAAATATGAAGAAAATGGAACTTCTTCCTTCTCACCTACTTGAAGCTGCCTGGATATCCGCATGTTGGGCAAGCATAAGGCTTGATGCGCGCATGGGGGGACCGTTGGGCGCATGCAAGGGTAAGCAATGATCATGCAATGGACCAGGCCAAATATTGATGCACAACACAGGTCTTGGTGCACATCGAGGGAGGGCGGGATGCGTGCAAATTTAAGCTGTACTGTCCCTTGGCTCCTGCATTTCTTCTTCTTTCAACCCGAGCTGGGTCCAAGTTTTGGACTTCGCTGCTGTAGGTCGTCTTCCTTGTCATCCGTGAGCCAGAGTCACCCTTGTTTGAGGAAAACAGTGATGTGGCGTCAGCCTTCAGTCAATCCAAGAATGTGATCAATGGTAAGCATGTTTACTCTTGCTCTTTGGTTTCCCTGTTTGCACATCACCCGCTGCTCTCTACCTTTAGGTCCCTCGTGACATGCCTCGGGCTAGGCGTTGCCTCGGGCTAGGCGTTGCCTCGGGCTAGGCGTTGCCTGGCAATGTGCTCCTTAAGCTGCTGCGCTTTTGCCATGCAGGTTACGTGTATTGCAATTTGCCTGGGCTAGAGGCACCTGTGGGCTCAAGCATTCGCTGGCATGCAGGATCACTGGGTGGATTTGACGCCATGCACAATTTTCACTGGTGAGTGTCCATGCTCGTCACATGGTTGGTCAGAAATGTCCACGGCAGCAGCCAAAACATGCTTTGCCAAGGCTTGAGCATTGCTGCCCTACGAGCTTCTGCGTGGTGTGGGTAACTTAGGGAAGGCTTCAAGATGGATGATGATGATGATGATGGTGTGTGTGTGTGTGTGTGTGTGTGTGTGTGTGTGTGTGTGTGTGTGTGTGTGTGTGTGTGTGTGTGTGTGAAACGTGGTTTAACATCCAGGGATGCAAAAGCCATGCATCAAAGGCCGAAGCAGCTTACGGCATCTGCTCTCTACTGTCTGTTCTCCTCATTCTCATAGCACGTCAACACCTGTGAGCAAGCAATACTGCTGGCCCCCCATCTGCTGCTTTTGAGGTGGCTGCGCGCTCGCAGACAGTAATGTGTGTGAGCACGCGCACTCTCTTCTGCTTTGTGCGCTTTACCTCAGGGGAGCGTTTGCGGGACTTTTGTGTTGCAGATTGTAAGCAGGTGCAAGGGAACGTTTAATGCCACCTGCGGGGAACCAACCCGGAACTCCTGCGTGACAGGCAGGAATTCAAACCACTAAGCTATGGCCACTTCCATTGTCTTTTTGCCGTGATTGGCTGCTCATGCTGCAACTCTATTTTGAAAGGCCCTAGGTCTCCTTTTGGGGTGCCCAGATACAAGAAAGGAGTTGTCCTCCCTTAGGGCCACCCTACACACGGCTCTCAGGCCAATCCCTTGCTCTAGCCAACTCACTTTTGAGCTCAAGGCAATCAAAAAACACCACTAACCGACAGGGGGATAGAGCTGGGGGGCGGTCCTTGGGCGAGGCCTCTCAAGTAGCCTTCCAGTCAACTTTTGTGCACACACAAGCACGCACGGGCACACACGCGTCAGAATGAGAGTTATTGACTCGGAGAAGAGGAAATGATGATGATGATGATGATGATGATGATGATGTGTGTGTGTGTCCTGCCTCTACTTTTGCTTGACTGAGCTTGGATGCATTTAAACATATGTTTGAGGCCGCCTTTGGGGCTTCATGAGCTTAGGCACTCTGCGTAAGCAGGTATCAGTAAAATAACTGAAATAAGTGCAACCCTTTTGCAGACTAACCCTAGGGCTGGGCCTGTATGCTTCTAATATGCATGCCGATGCATACCACTGCTCTGATCAGAGGACACGTGACAAGGCAGTGCCAAGTCAGGGATGTCTCACTCAGACCAAGGCGTCTTGCTCTGCTGCCATGCCACTAATGCAGGCATGGCAACACCATGCTTGTAGATGGAAGGCGTGTTGACCAGTTTAACGTGCTAGGCGGCAACACCCTCAGTGCCGACATGAGTGCAGATAACCCGGGCGTATGGCTTTTCCACTGTCATGTGGGTGAAGATTGTGTGTGTGTGTGTGTGTGTGTGTGTGTGTGTGTGTGTGTGTGTGTGTGTGTGTGTGTGTGTGTGTGTGTGTGTGTGTGCGTGCGTGCATGAGTGCGTGTATGCGTGTGTGCTTATATTGCTCCAGTGTGGATCCACCTGCACTTCCTTCCGCTGTGCCTGCCTTTGACTGTTCCATGAGCGTCAGGTCTGGTGCGTCGTGGCCACAGCTCTGCACTGCATACGTGACATTGGAATCTTAGTTCCCCGCAAGAAATTGGCACAGTTGCAACAAGCTGGCTGCTCTTAGGAATTCCTAAATGCAGAGAATGGCTTGAGCCTCGTGAAATACGTGTGATGAGGATCAGTGTGCTTCGTCATGCTGGACACTTGCACGGAACACATAGGCGTCCCTGCCTGCCCTTGATAAATGCTTTTCTGGTCTGCCCGCATGAGCAGGTGAATAAACATCTGAGGCTCGGAATGCAGGGAGTTTACAAAATCACTGGCACCAGGGTGGAGCCTGAGGTCTCAGGTGTCGAGCGCGAGTACTTCATTGCGGCTGAGGAGGTCCTTTGGTAGGTTGCTCAAGACCAGACCGCTTCTGCCCTGATCTTCACCTGCAGATGTATGTGTGTAATCATATATATCTTTTAAAATACACATCTGTCATGTTGTACATTATGTGTAACTCATATCCTACATGGATACTCTTTTTTGCTCTTGGAATATGCAAAAAGCTCCTGTTGTTTTCTGGGAGGGAATGCGCCGATCTGCTTGTGCGCCTACTCCCCGCAGGCACTATGATGACTTGTCTGGTCTCAACCAATGCGGGCCAGAGCCAGTGCCCCTCACTGAGCATCCGGTGGCTTCTATGTTCCTTGGGCCCGCTGATGTGGAGCTGGAGCGCATGGGCTCTAAGTGAGTAAATTGTCAGTTTGCACTAACCGTTTAAGCTGCTTGCCACGTGTTCCAGGTCACAGAAGTAAAAGAACATTGTGCAGAGGTCGCAGCTTGTGCATGTTTTCTGTTGCCCCTTTTTTCTTTCCACATTCTGGGGTTGTATTCATCTGCAAGAGCAGCTCTTGGAGCAAGAGGGGTATGCCGGAGTGTGGGTAAAGGAGGAGTGCTGCAGGGCTGTATATCTCATTTACTTCTGGTCCATGTGTTTTTTAAAAAAAGGAGAATTCTCCGCCTTGCCTGCCACACTTGACGACCTGGCGATATATAACACATTGTTACATTCCCCCTTGCCTAGATTTGGACGTCCAGGCCGAATTCGGGATTTTACCCTACTCATGGCCTGACAAAGCCCTGTTTATTCGTCCTTGCTCCAGGGACGAGTCCTGCACCCTTGCCCAAGGGATGTGCCTAGCCAATTGCGCCTACCAGGTGTTGAACCCCTGACCTGTGGTACGCACGGACGCTTTGCTGGCCTGAAGCAAAGCCGCTATGCCACCAGGAGCCCTGGCTTTGCGTACCAATTGAAAGAAAAGGAGCATTCTCCGCCTGCCTGCCACACTTGACGATCTGGGGAAATATATAACATATCATTACAATGAGGGCCCTAAAAGCCACCAGTGCGGAGGCTGTTGTGTTGGGGCATGCAGCTGCAGGGGTCAGCCAGGGCAACACCTGTTCAGCTCTAAACATAACACTCGATTGGAATAAAGTGAATTCAATTTCAAAAACCAACCCCTTGCTTGCCACATGTGCCCTGCAGCATTACCAAGGCCATGTACGTGGAATACACCGATGGCAGCTTCAGCACTAGGGTCAACAGGTCTGAAGGTGAAGAGTATCTGGGGTTGGTGGGCCCCATCCTGAAGGCTCGGGTTGGAGACACCCTTGTGGTCACCTTCAAGAATAATCTGCCAGCGAGCAGGTGAGGGGGGGGAGGGGGGGTTAAGGCAAAGGCTGATAGGTTCCAGAGTCTGGAATGTGACTGTTCTGGTTGGTTGAGCACTCATTCAGGTGCATGGATTTGGGACAATGCGTGGAAAGGTTCATGCGTTTTGCAGTTCAGTTGACATAATTTTAGAACTGCGCGGTCAGGTTGTGTGGAGCAAGATTCGCCCCCTCTTGCTGAAATTTGTTTTGCCTGGTGCGCAGGCCTGCCGTTTCCCTCCACCCTCACGGAGTTTTGTACGACAAGACCGGTGAGGGCGCCCCCTACAACGATGGAACTGGCGCTTTTCCCCAGAACGCCTCACGCCAGGATGATAATGTCGCCCCTGGCGATACACATGTCTATGTTTGGAATGTGAGCATTACTTGGTGAATCCTGTTTGTAAGGATATAGGACTTTTGTGAAGGAGGCATGTCCCCCCCACCCCCAATCCCTCTTAGACTCAATATTGTCATGCAATAGTGAGCATGGCTATCGGCTGGATGCTGGCTTCTTACATCGTTGCATTTTGCTTGTACCGTTTGCATAGCTTTGCTCAGTGTAGCCTTGATCATTGGGCGTAATCTCACAAATTAGGACTGGGAATCGCAGCAAATACGATCCAAACATAACATGCAAAAGAGAGAGGATATGATTTCCTCCTGATATCTGTTTTGGGGGACATTGTGTCCCGAGTTATGCAGTGCAGGACGTCTGTAGACGAGCGCGTGTGTGTGCGTGCATAAGCGTAAGCGCTTGTGTGTGCGTGCATAAGCGTGCGCGCCCATGTGCGAGCAGCTTGTAATTCACAATTGGGGGAGGAGATTTTGGCCTTCAAGCTCTTAGCGTCCAAAAATTTGAAGACTTCTTCAATAGACACAGCATAACACTGATGCATATGCATGCAGGTCACCAGAGCTGCGGCACCTGGCCCCGGTGATGTCAATTCCAAGCTATGGATGTGAGTGCAGCACACGCTCCGCCCTGAACACTTTGGCAAGGTTCCCTGTGCTCAACCTTCTCTCAAACCCAAGAAGGCCTGACACTTGCTGCTCATCCTGTCCTTAGGTCATTAAAGCATTTTGCAAGGTGGTTTTGTAAGTCTATACTGCAGGCCTGAAAGGCTCTTACTTTCCCGGGCATGCAAACTTGAATGAGCATGAATGAATGCCTTGATGCTGCCACTGCCTTGACTCCTGTCTACTTGCAAACTGACTATCTGCTTTCACAAGCAGCTTGCACTTGCCTGACACTCTGCCTGTAAACACAGCATAGTACCACTTAAATTTGTAGTTAAACATGTCACATCTCCTGAAGCTGGAGAAGATTGGCCTTGCTATCATTTGTGTGCATGTTGTTGGGCGCGGGTTCACTTGAAGACGATTTGAGGCCTCAAGCTTGAGTGCAAAGGTGTGACTGAGATCCTCCTTGTGGTCGTAGGTACCATTCCCATTCAGATGAGGCGGCGGACACCCAGGCAGGGCTGTTTGGAGGCATCATTGTTTACCCTGCAGACCCAGAGAACAGTGACCCTGCGCCCTCTGATGCGGACCGTGAGCTGGTACTGTTCTTTGCCATCACACAAGAGGTTGAGTCGTTGTACCTGGAGGAGAACCTGAAGATGTGAGTGTTGACCCTCCTCCTCTGGGCCTGCTTTGGTTGCAGCCTCTGCATCTTGCCAGCAAGTGATTTGAGGGTGAGTGGGTGCCTGAATTTGTGCTCCATTTTGTGCGAGGGGCCATCATCCACTCTCTGATCCCTTGGGTTGCCCAAGAAATCACGTCTTGTGCTTGCACAGGCATGGTTTTCTTGAAGCGAAGGGCCTGGAGGAATGGAAGCGCTCTTTTCATTTTTTTGAGGCATCACTCAGACCCAACATCAATGGACTCATGTTCTGCAACATGCCAGCCCCTGAGGTCACTGCTGGCCAGCGTGTCCGGCTGCACGTGATGTCCTTGGGCGATATGACAGACATCCACACTGTAAACATCCTTGGTAAGCGATAGTGACTGCACGACAATGGAAGTGCTATCACTTAGTTCAATGTGCCTGGCTTCTCCCAAGTTCAATTGAGTGCTATGGATGTGATTGTGTGATGAAGGGGTAAAAGGATTTTCCTCTGAGCCAAGTTGCTTGAGGCTATGAAGTGACTGCTTCCACCACCAAGGTGGACATGGCAAACATGTTACCCACCGGTCATCCGCTGTAGGTCCTCCAGCAAATAGGGGGGGAGTGACGATGTCTCATTTGTGGAAGAGCAGGTTTGGTTGTGCTCTCTTAAAACTGGATTACGCTCCCGCCTGACCTCTGCCTGACTTCCTTCTGGGCCGTTG